ACACAAATTTTCACCTACATACACCACAAAAAAGTACTTAATAAAGTACTGAAACAAACTGGACATTTGGAAGGCTTTCCAAATGACATTCAGAAAACAGATGTAAAAAGCCTTTGGAGACGACCTTCTGTAAACAAGGATAGTCATTCATAAAGGAAAATACCAATTTCGTGGTTACCAAAATTACTGCAATCATTTTCACATCAAGACTTTGTATATAACAGAACTTACCAGAATAGCCCTCTACCCAATCCACAGGACAATGCCAGTTTATGTCTGCTTCTATAATTCATAACTTCTCTGCCTTTTTATTCTCTGTTTCTGTTTGTGTTGATGAACAGTATCTGTGTAAATTTTGTTTTGTGATGGCAGTCAACTGTAATCTTCAAGAAGGGCTTTGCATCATATTTGTAGTTTTGGCATAGGTGTGACATTAAAAATAAAATAGATGGGTATAAAAATAAAAAATAAGCTCAGCATATATCCTGTAAAAATACTCTAAACTTTTGTATACTGCAGTATTGACAGTTTCTTATTTTCATTTTTTTCCCAGTTGAAAGTAAAATGAGTACAGCAAGGAGAAACAATTTACTCAATCATTTCTCAGAAGAAGATGACTTCAGAAGGTTCATACCTAAAGTAGTTACTTTCTGATTTTACACTTGTAGTTTACTTCATTTAGGTTTTGGTAGCACTGACATTTTGCTTCAAAATCTATTGAAGGTCATTGTTATCTAACAGTCTGTCTTGAGATACAACTCTGGAGCTCAGTTTTCTGTTAAGAAGTTAATACAGTGATAGCTGTGCTTTGTGCTTAGCCAAATGACACTGGTTCTAAAGTCTTTTAACACAAACTGTTAGAGGAAGCTGCAGGCTTGAAGTTCACTAACAACTGCAGTGAGCTGTCTACAAATGTGTCTAGTGTAATTTGTTTGGTCTTAGGCTTCTTGTTCTGAAATTCAAAACATTATCTCAGTAGTTTACCATCTTCTAAGAGAGGAATTTCAGATATTTCACTGCAAGCTTACGTATGCATCTGTGGTGAACTGCTGTGGGACTTGTGGCATGTAACTATATTCACTGTTGTTTCAGAATATTTTACTCTGTGTGTAGTACAGATGACAGAAAAAAAAAAAGTTTTAAATGTTTATTCTACATCATTCTCTCTTTATTAGGTATTTTAATATGTAATTCCAACAATTTTGGTGTTCTCTTATGCATGATCCTGTTAGAAGACAAAAAAAAAACCCAAACAAACAAACACCCCAAAGCAGTTTTAGTTTTGCTACCATACAAATTTGGAACTGTCAGAGCCCCAGGACATGAGCACCAGTGCATGTTCCATCCTCTACTGTGGCTGCAAATTTGGAAGTGTGAGACACTTGTACAGTGGATTGATGTCAAGGTACACCCATTTTCCCATAATTAAAGTCATTCTCTTTAAACTGTTTTTTAAAATCACTTCTACAAGATCATCCATCTAGTTCTGTCATCTGAAAACCATTGGGTCCCAATGTCCCACGCCAGCTGTGATTGTTTCATACTGCTCTGCATAGCATACATTGGAAATTACAGTTTCCCTAAGATATTTCCACTGAAGCCTATGCATACTGTATGGAAATGACCTTCAAAATTTTTAAGGATCTGCTGAGCTCATTAACCAGGTCTAATAGGAGACAAACTTCATAAAATGTGTAAGAGGCTTTTTACCCGCAAAGAAGGTTGAGAATTCCAGATCAGTTCCAGTCCTGAGCATTCAGATGCAGTCTTTAGGTATTTTAAAGTGTATTGCCAGAGTTTTGCTTTTTAAAAACGCAAAATAGGAGCATTTCCTTCGATGTCAATGGGCTGACAATTAAGAAGTAAACTGTTAGCACTTTTGTCTGTGCTTTGGAGTCTGAGATGGAATGCAGTGATATAAGTATGCACAGATAAGAACATTAACTGCATCTTAATTATAATAATTGCATAATTTTTTTGAATTTTAGATTTGGCAGAAGTTCTGCTACTTTTTTCTCAGTACCCTATTCCAGTACTCATTCATCCATGACTCCATTTTTAACAGCAAAGATTGTTTAGAAGGTGATAAAATTCAGTATCGCCTCCTCCCCAGATTCAGCACCTGCAAAGACTAAGTGTTCTATTTCCTAAGAGGCACAAAAATATATAGCCTGAAATCTGTTCTTTAGGAGTAGTTCTAATTAATAAATGAACAAGCAACTGCACATGCTTTTAGGCTACAAGTGGAGAAAATTCTATTCTGTGTGAACTACCAATGAACCCACAATGATGCCTACTTTACATTTGGGTTGAACTACTTTTAAGCCAGAGCAATTAGTGAGACTGATTGCTTTCCATTTGAATTGGTAACAGGTGTCTTCAATTAAAGCCTGTTCATTTTCCTTGAACTTGTATGTTCATTACCACTTTGTAGAATTTTATACTGCCATGAACCATTTCTGCAAAATGTGGCAATGAAATTTTCTGAGAGAAATGGTTTGGGCTAATTAGTATTTTGCCTGAAACATAACGAAAAAGGAAGGAACTATTGAATACTCGGAGAGCTCTCTGTAAGCTCTGAATTCCTCAGGGTCCTGTGCAACCACTCAGAAATACAATTAGATCTGGGAAAGTTTTTAATCAAAAAGTCAGTGTGTGTAGTTTAATTCCCTGTTTTGGAGAAGACTTCCCCTATTATCATGCAAATATGTTTAGTCCTTTAACAAAGCACTTCTGTACTAATACCATCAGTTTTTCATAAGAAAATTTTCATCTGACTTTAAAACTAGACTGAACTTCTTCAAAAGTAATCCAGAACATTCTGCGTCTATTCAACATGCTTACATTGTTGGCTTATATTGGTTAGAAGGCAGTTATCCTGCTTTTCTATTCTTTTCTGACCACCGTGTCAGGGAATGGTACAGCATAAGGTTAGAAAAGACAGAGCAGTTGGAATTTCTAATGCTTTCTGTCTTGTTATAGTCAAGCTGCACACTTAGCTGTGACATATACCTAGCTAGGGTGTTAATGTGTTTCACGCTTCTCACACCATGAACAGCTGTATCAGTTCTTTTCCTACTGTTAGCAGAGAAGCACACAGAAACATTTAAATGTTGAGGTGTTTGCTCTCACCCTTTTGTCCCTTTAATGTTCAACTTTATATCAAGAAAACATTTTTACTGCAGTGGGGATAAAATTATGTGAGAAGCAGAGTGACATACATGCAATTACTGTCTTCATATTGCTGCTGAAGCTGGAAGTAGTCACCTAAGAAATTTGAGTCTAAAATCTTGGAGCTTGCTGTGCTAATGGAGCAATTTACATCTTGAAGCAGTGGTATATACTTGGACTAGGTTTGGCTTTTCTGATTGTGGAGTCAGTCCTTTCAACAATTTAACTGATTACAGGAGAAATTGCCTTATGGCTAATTGTGAGTTTGATTAGTGAAGATTTTTTTTTCTTTTTTTAATTGTGAAGACAAAATGAAATAATGGAAGATAAAATGGAAAGGATAACAACTCTTAAAAAGGTATACATCAGGTTAAGGCTCCAAAGTCTGAATTGGTGGAATTCCACATGACTAATTCACTGCAAGGAATTCCCTGCTAAATTAGAATCTCATTAACTTTACTGATGCTCCTAATGCCAAGACACTAATGCATCTAGGTTTTTAAAAAATCATGATATAATCTCAAACAGAATAATGGGAAATAATATTTTTTCTCAATAAATTATTATGAGTATAAATAGAAAATTATATATTTTTCTGGTGAGCAGAATGATTCATGGGATAAAAATTACACAATCACAGAATAGTAAGGGTTGAAAAGGACCTCTGGAGATCATCTAGTTCAACCCCCTGCTGAAGCAGGTTTATCTAGCATAGTTTGCATAGGAACATGTCCAGGCAGGTTTCAAAAATCTCCAGAGAAGGAGACTCCACAATCTCTGTGGGCAGCCTGTTCCAGTGCTCCATCCCCCTCACAGTAAAGAAGTTTTTCTTTATGTTTAGGTGGAACTTACTGTATTCCAGTTTATAAAAAAATAAGAACCAAGGAACTGAATTTAATTGCCATTTTAAAAGATCGCTTTCATATGTCTTCAATTCATGAGATTATGAGGCAAAGCACTTGGTACCTTTGGTTTAAGGAATTATTCATTGATCATAGGGATTTCAGCTGCATATAGGAAGTGTTCTGAGGTTCTTTAGTGAAGCAGGAGAAGCCTAGTGCAGTAAAACTACCTGCAAGGTAAATTGAACAGTTGCTAGAATATGCTGATTTTAAAAAACAGATGTTCAGAATAAAAACTCTTTATATACACACACCTGCAAAACACGTTCCTAGCCCTATAGGAAGCATCTTGATATATTTCACTGTGAATTTCAACAAGTAGAGAAGAGAATGCTTTGTATATTTTTGGCTTGATTTGAAACACTAGGAAAGGGAGTTATCTAATATTTTATGTGTGTTTTCTGAGTCTCTTGAATAATTTAATTTATTTAATGTGTCTTCCCAGGGAACTTGTGGACTCAACACTTATGCTGTTTTCAGAATTCCAGGGAGAGAAAAAAATTCTTCAATTCTAAAACAAATAAAAAGTTTTAAAAGCCTTTAGCTTTTTTTTTTTCAGATTATTTACATGAAGTTGATGAACATCTATTGAGTGTATCCATTAACATGACACAATATTATTTCTATATATTGCTTTGTCTTATTTTTTTCTGTGTTCTTTTAGAGATCATCTATAGCTGGGTATTTAATGAATTCCCATCCTTTGTGGCAGAAGATAGCAGACGCTTCATCTCTCAGGAAACAGGCAATCTCTACATCTCCAAGGTGCAAACATCTGATGTTGGCAGCTATATATGCCTGGTAAAAAACACAGTGACAAATGCCAGAGTTTTGAGTCCTCCTACACCTCTGACACTGAGAAATGATGGTAAGAAAGGCATTATTTCTAGGTACTGTATAGAAGTAAAAATACTAAGCCAAAAATACCCTAGTTAATTAAGAGCCATGGTTTTATTGTCCTGTCAGTATATGTAGACATTCACTGCAGCAATCAGCTTAAGAATGGAGAGAGTCTCTTTTAAAACATCTAACAGTTGTGAGAACATTTAGACCTCCAAAGGCTGAAGTTGCAGTCTGACACCTCTTGATGTGTTTTGTTCAGAACAGTTACTCATCCTTGTTGTTCGGATGCTGTCACTAATAGAAGCAAATCTCCTTTCTTGGTAATGTCTGTTACTTTAGAGGTCAGTTCTGTTGCTTCAATGCAAGTGGCCACTGCCACACTGAGATAGTCTCAGGCATCTGAGACATCATCCACAGAGAACTGGCAAATACCACAGAGGGCACTCAGACCGGTAGTAGGATGCCAGGACATATATATTCATGCATCTCAGATGACACAAGGCACAGATGGTTAAACAAAACAGAGATTGTATTGCTTAAAATTTTACCTGTTGCTGTACTAAAGACCTGTTGGCACTTTCAGGCTCCAATTCAATTCACTAAGTACCATCAAGAACACCACAATATCTTTGATTACAGTGAGAATTAGTTGCCCAGGTGGTTTTAAATTTCATCAAGGCATATAACTGAAGTATTTTTTTCTGTAACTAAATACTTACAGCTTTGCAAAATATCTTGGGATTTTTTTTCCTAAAAATCAAAAGAAAGCACCTTCCAATATTATTTCTTATGGAGCATTATGTTGTTTCAATATAAATGATGTGTAACTGTGTAACTCTGATTCCAACTCTGTTGGACTATATGCCTATTTATTTGCTCTTTTGCAGCAAAAAGATTCATATTTATTACATTATAATTACTTTTTTATTTGTTTTCTGTCATAGTGTTATCTTTGAAAATAATAATAATTCCATAGGTGCCTATATTTTCCTTTTGTTCAACATGTTCCATATTTAATGATGCTATCTAGTTCTTCAGAATTATATTTCATCAATTCAGAATATGTGAAGCCATATTTACAGAAATCAGAGGGAGAGAGAGGGAGAGAGAAAGTCTGAGGTTTCTGTCTTGCTTATAGCTTTTTCTGGAACTAAGACTAGTCCTGTGCTGTAGAAGCATTACAAAAGCTGGACACAGATCTTAGTTTATTAGAAATGTGTTCACAGTTTAGAATAGAATTAATGTTTATTCATTGTAACAAGGAGAAATTTCTGTCTGCACAGCATGTAGCCTCTGCAGCGAAAAGCTGCATGTTTTACAGAATCACAGCATGTCAGGGTTTGGATGGGACCTCTGGAGGTCATCAAGTCCAACCCCCTGCCAGAGCACTGTATTGTTCTCTTTTCTTTTCTTTTTCTTTTCTTTCCTTTTCTTTTCTCTTCTTTTCTTTTCTGTTCTCTTCTTTTCTTTTCTTTTCTCTTCTTTTCTTTTCTGTTCTCTTCTTTTCTTTTCTTTTCTCTTCTTTTCTTTTCTGTTCTCTTCTTTTCTTTTCTTTTCTCTTCTTTTCTTTTCTGTTCTCTTCTTTTCTTTTCTTTTCTCTTCTTTTCTTTTCTGTTCTCTTCTTTTCTTTTCTTTTCTCTTCTTTTCTTTTCTGTTCTCTTCTTTTCTTTTCTTTTCTCTTCTTTTCTTTTCTGTTCTCTTCTTTTCTTTTCTTTTCTCTTCTTTTCTTTTCTTTTCTTTTCTTCGCTTCTCTTCTCTTCTCTTCTCTTCCCTTCCCTTCCCTTCCCTTTTCTTTTTTTCCCTGGTTTATTTTCTATATGAATTATTGTGTTTTAGGTGTTTATTTTACTGAAAAAAATCTCATGCACTCTCAGCATACCTGATCTTTTCAATATCAACCTTTGAAAATTAAAAAAAAAAAAAAGAAACATTGACTGTGTTTTTAATTAGTTTGATCCCTGTCAAAAAAAAAAGTTTGACTATTGTTTTCCTATTAATTATTAATATATTGCTCATTGATTTGTATGATATCTCTTTATGCTTTTATTAAGTTCCATTTCTAGACAGAAATTCAATAAATTACCCATATCTTACTACCAGTACATAAACACACAATACACTGTAAGAACAGAATAAAGCAAATAATGGTAAAGAGAACAGCCTACATCGCTGAGCTAAGAAACAAAATCTATGAAGCAAAACCATGCAGATTTTCTTAAATATCAAGCAGATAGTATACACTAGCCTCAAGCAAATTTGTGTTTCACAGCTGGCTGTCAAACAACTGTCATGATCCAACCTTCTGAACTGTGCTGGACTATCGAGGAGACATTTGCACGTAGATGAACTGCTCCTCAACAATTTCCTGATTCATTTTTCCACAAACATGAATTTCTACCAGGCTTACATGCCTTAGTTTTTATGTATTGGTATGTCTGAAAATTCCTTTCATTGTAGTGGAGTTTTTAAATCTTTTTTCTTAACAAATTGCTTGCTCTGCCGTATAACTGAGCAAGTTTCTCAGTGAAGAGACCCAGACTTTCTACCTAACCTTTCAATCTTCGTAAATCTACCTTGAAAAACTGTTCAGGAAAATTCCGGTTGCCAGGTCATATTTATTATATCGGACATCTGCCTTGGTTTACCTCCTCCACAGAATGCAATAATAAGCACCTTTTAAAAAGTCACTGGGATCACTATGAAAATATTCCATTAATGGTACTTTTTATTTTTGATAGAAATTGGTTTAGGTTATTTTGGCTTGTTCATTAAGTAATACTATAGGGCGATGACAGAATTTTAAATATATATGTACATTATACTCCAAAATATGGGGTAATATAGCTGCTGAAAAGAGATGCTCATTAGAGATAAAGAAAATCAATTTGTCTAGAAAGAAACAGCCGAGTATAGATTCTAATAAGGAAGTAAGAAATTAAGAATGACATTAAAAAAAAATCAAAGTACCTGTAAATTTACTTGACACCATGTCACTGAGTTCTGTTATATGATTTAAAATGTGGCTGGGATTTTTTTAAGCTTTTTGTTTATAAAATTGATTGAATCACTTTTGGCTTTTCAAATATTCACTTAAGTTTAAAAATCATACAGCTTTCTGTCTTCTAATGGTTGTCATCACAACTGACATTACCCTATGCAGTCAGCACATTTGTCAGAAACCACAGAAAGAGGTTGTGGTTTTAAACAGCTTTTATGAATGTCAGTGTATAAATAAAACAATTTATATTAGTCTGTATTCTCTGGACATATGTGTCATTAACTCAAAAATATTCTACTTTATTTATCATCATTCTCATATTTTAATATATAAACAGTACCTGTAAGCAGGGGACTGGACAGCTTGCAACAAAAATAAAAACCTCCTATGACAACAGTGGTCTCTTTTTATCTCTGAGGAAGAAATGGAATATTAAGGTTTTCTGTCAAATTCTTCAAGAATGTAGGAACTTTCTGGGCCATTATAAATCTTTTATTTCTTTAGTGATATGTCTCAAAGGGTAACTTAGCTCCTTGGTATGAAGAAAATTAAATAAAAATATCAAGAAATCCCTCAATGGCTTGTGAATAAAATGAATATCTCATTTGTTCAGATGTCCTTGACAATCAGTCTTTTCATACAGTTCAATTCCACTTCAAGCTGGGTTATAAAAACACTCCAAAAATCTGTCTGAGATAAAATGTTCTAGCAGAAAAAAAAAAATAATGCATCATTTCATTAACTGCCTTTATAATGCATTAGAAACTTTGAGGAATTCTTTAATAACTGTTTACAAATAATAAACAGGGTTGTTAAAATGAATCTTTGCAGGCTCAGGAGCTCACTGGGAACAGTAAATTATCTTGACTAATAAAAACAAACAGAAAGCTTCTTCAAACTTAGGGAATACAAATCTAGGGAGTATAAGACTCCTTGATAGCATAAGGCAGTTATTTCAAGTTCACACGTTTTCATTCCAGTTTTTCCTCCTTTTTTATCTTCTTTATTTCTCTTGGAAAGATGTTAACTTTAATATTATTACTGTACAGGAAAGATTTAAGTAATTCTTCATTTTATCTCTGTGTAGATACTGCTATGATGACATTTCGAGAAAAAAAGGAACCTGCACAATTTCAGACATCAGAGGATACTTTCTACTGTCTTCCATTAGAGCAAATTGGTTTCTACCTCAACAGAGGCTGGTTTATCTGACCAGACATATTCTATTGTAACTGAATGCAAACCTTGATCGTCAAAGTTTTTTTCCATGTCACCATAGTTCCATGAAGTCAGGATTAAAAAAAGCCCCAGTGCAATCTTATTTTAATCAAAAAAAGAAAATCAGGACATATATAATAAGATGCAGGAGCAGGGGTTATTTGATTTGCCTTTTTTTAATTTTTCTCCCAAAATGTTTATTTTATTATGTTTATTAATGTTTATTTCCATTTAGAAAACCTCTTGCAGTCAGCACCAGCGGGCCTCCCACCTAAAATTCTCAGTGAAAATCTATGGGAAGACAGTAAATTTTATAGAGGGCTCTTATACAGAGTGTTTTATAGGGATTGTAGCATGGCTTAAGAATAATATCACACAGCACACAAAAGTTCAAAGACATTATTTGTAAAAGTTTTAGACTAAAAAAGTATAGAGAAAACATCCTGGGATGGTCTTTTGACAATATATAAGGGCTGAATCCAGGGGAATGTTTTAGGAAGAAAACTAGGAGAGGTTAGGAAAATACTATGATCCAGCATCCAGTGTAAAACAAGAACTCTTACACTGTGAAACAGTTTCCTTTGAGTTTAGTTCACTTTGAGGTCTGTTAAGATAATCTTTTACAAGGAGTTTAATTTCTGAGTTTTTCCACCAGTTTTCTATAAACTTTCTCTGCTGGAAATGAAGTTGTAGGGTTTTTTTAATTAGCTGAAGTAATTTATGATACTAGAGATGTAACATTTTGCACATCTTCTGCACTCATGTTTTCTGTTTTGTTTTTCCTCCTGATGATTTATGTAACTATTACA